GTTAAAAATAAAATACCAAATAAAAAAGATGATTCACCCTTACAAAACAAGATTTGCTAATAAATATATATTATTTCCATTTCTTTTCTTTGTTTTCTTTTAATTTTTTTTGTTGAAATGCAAAGAAATCTCAAGTGAGTGAAAACACGTGAGCTTCTGGTGAAAATTCAACTATATTTTTAATCCGTTGAGATACTCTTTTAGTAAAATTATATAAAATGCATTTATATATTTACCTGTCTCTCTCTCTCTCTCTCTCTCTTTCTCTCTCTTTCTCTCTCTTTCTCTCTCTTTCTCTCTCTCTCTCTCTTTCTATGTTTTCTTCTCTTTTTCACAAATATGGAACGAATAAAAGCGAATCGACCGCTTTAACATTTGCTTACTTTCGCGATTCGCGTCGAATGCTACATCGAATGCTGCATCGTCGTCTGGGAGAAGAAAAAGAGAGACGGTGAGACAAACAGACAGACGAACAGAACAGAAAACACAGACAGACGGATAGACAGACAGAGTAAGAGACAGAGATAGAAAGATTTTTCGTTTCTGTAGATACATGCATAGCGTTTACCACTACCATCCAAACGACATCGTTTTCTTCTTTCAACGAAAATCGTGGGTGGAGGGTGAAAATCCGAGTGGAATGACACCACCGCTAGAAAATCCAATAAGCGTCGTCTAATTCGCTACCGCGAACCTTATGAATAACGAATACATCCCAACTAGGAAAACGGTATGATATCTCTCTAATGTAAAATCCTCGAACTAGACAAATTAATTTCTAACGAGAAATTAATGATATCTACGAGAACTTAGTTTTCGAATTTCCATCAAAAATAAATAACCATCAAAAACTTGTGGATCGTATTCTTCTATATAAAATAAATAAAAAAATCTTAAATGAAAATTGTTCGTTGGAAATAAAATTCACGATCAATTGAAAAATTAAAAATTATGATATTGTATCTAACATTTCTAAAATGTTCCTCGTTTTCTTGTCGATCTAAATTTGATGATAAAACTTAATCTGATGTATCAAAGACACGCACGTTGTTTATAATATTGTATAAAAAAATACAAAAAAAAAAAAATAAAAATAAAAGTACAGATAAAAGAAGAATGTTTAGAATGCGTGAGAAGGATCGTAATTTTCTGACGATTCTATTACTTCATCCGAGAAATAGAGAAAACGATGAAGTTAGAATATAGTTGCTATATTTACATGTGTATATATGTGTGTGCATACCTATGTTCTTAAGTATGTTGAATATGAAAGCATAAGAAACTCCACGCACGAGCGATCAGAAACGATTGCATGCGACCATATCACACGTGAGCGTCTTATTGTCGCGTGCACTTGTGTATTATCTCTCTCTCTCTTTCTTTTACTCTTACTCTTACACCTATGTATACTACGTTAGTAAACAGCACTGGTTATATAGGACACACGGCAAGTATTCTCTGACTTCATTTTTCTAATCGATTTTAAAGGTGAAGGCGAAGGACTCGTACGCATACACACGTACATAGTAGCCTTTCAAATCGTCGTAAAAGCGCTTTAAACGTTCCGAATACGACTCGAAAATCAATGGACGGTAATCTTAAAAATATATCCTAACTTTTACGATAGTATAAATTACAAAGATAAATAATGTTAAACAATTTTACGAACAAATTTATGAATCGATATTAGAAAAAAGAAAAATACGAAATGGAAATTGAAATAGGAAATATAAACGATTATAGAGTCGAAATGAAAATTTTTACAATTTTACGAACAATTTTTTTTTAAATGCAAAGTTATACAATAAAAAATATTTCATTGAAAAATTGAATAAATATAACGCATGATTTTGATCAATTTCGATCTCTGTGTGTACCGCAAAAGGAAGATGAAATCGTAGGCGTTTGATTCAGGTCAGTAATCACAGTATGACCTTTTTTACACGCTCGTTAAATTTAAACGATTAAAGGAAGTCTAAGGATTCTGAAATTCGATGAGATCACATATAACTCTCTCTCTTTCTTTTCTCTTTTCTCTGTCTTTTTCTTCATGGAGACACTTAATGATCTTTATATATATATATACACAATGAATAAGATCATTTCTTGCAGTTTTTTATTCGAGACCGAAATATAATTGTTCTCGTTATTTTATGTTCATTAAAGAAAGTAGACAGAAATACGTATTGATAATCGTCGTCACATACCCGTGTCGGAGTTCACTATATTAACTTGCATTAAAGATAAGAGAGAATTCTTACCAATTTTTTACGATAACTTTTAATTTAATTTTGATAAAAAAAATAAAAGGTAACTTTTTGTCGAATGAAATAAATATATTTTATTCACAATTGAAAATATTAAATATTATAATAAAATAATAATAATATAAAGAACCAAAATTGCCACTAAAATGGTGTTATCTATCTAAACCTTAATATAAAACAAAAAATAATATAAACTATCATTATAAAATATCAGTCACATTATTACGAATATAATGACAACTACATACATATGTACATTTTATAATTAATTTTGTATTATTAACAACAATTTATAATTTTATATATATATATACATGCATTATATATATACACATAAACGCAGATATATAGGCCTATATAGATATATAGGTTGACATATCTTTTTTTTAATTCTCGATGCACCGGATGTAACGACATGGAAACGAAGGAAAGAAGAAAAGAGGCCAAACTCGGGTCGTATCGTCCACGTAGTGGAACGAATTCCATGCTAGGCCACCCTTTCAAAGCCGGAAGAAAAGAGTCCGATATGCGAGAGATAAAAACAGTTTTCTTCGTGAATTTATTCGTGAAAGATTCTTAATACATAGAAAAGAAGACGACAGAGATTCTTTCTCGTCGTCGTCGTCTTTTAAATGACATGCCAGGAACATTCGCAAATTGGAGCAGTAATCGGATGTACCGTAATAACTCAAATAAACTCTGACTAGCGATTCTCTCTTCTCTTAACTTCTCTTTACTTCTTATTCTTCTTCATCATACTCTTTATGAAATAAAGAGCGAGCTAGAGAATCTTGCAAATCGCTTTTGATATTTTTCCTCTAACTCTTCCCCATTCGAAAGTCGACCCTTCTTCCTTTTGTGCTTTTATTAAGACAACAAACGTACGATCTAACGAAAGTGCAAATAATTCTGTTGCCATAATTTTTCACGAAGGGTATAATTTGATTCTATCCGGAATCATTTAACATTAAACAACGTTAACCTTATAGTTTTTGACGAATGAACACTTCGCATTTACTTTAGATTCGAAAAATTTGTTCGTATTCTTATTAGGATCTCTTATTGGATTCTTGAAATCGCGTTTTTTAATCTTTTACTTTCATTTCTGATCGTTGAAAGAAAAAAGAAAAAAGAAAAAGAATAAAACAGTTACATAAACGATACAGCAATAGTAAGTACACTTTAGCTTTCGAGAAACTTTTGTCGATTAAAAAAAATAAATAAATAAAATATATGCAATAGCGTGGAAAGGAGTTGTGACGACGGACGTTGGGTAAATTTTCGGCGCGAAAGTAAAATTAACCGGAAGTAGAAAAGAGAGGAAGTAAAGCACACAAAATATACACACACACACGCACATATATATAGATATATATACATCGAGGAAACCGTACCAACGAGGTTGCCCTCCTCTACTCGCGAAATCGATCCGCGGCCTCTCGCGTTTACTCCGCCCCCGAAACTGCGGTTTTGAGGCATGATTATATACAAACTCGAATCTCTACTGTCTTTCTCTCTCTCTTTCTCTCACTATCTATCTATAAATTTATATCTTCATCTATATATATATGTATACAAAAGTATATGGGATGAATGAAACAATTACCACATACATTCCGAATCCAATTATCTTAATTAGTTCATATATTCAAAATTTATTTTTACGCGAACAATGCATCATTTTATTTGTTTGTTTTTTTTATTTGATGATATATATATATATTAGTTTTTTTTATGAATAAAACTTCGAGTATATATATATAATAATGATTTTAAATTAATTTTTCAAAAGTTCCTAGATTTAATAATTATTTCATTTGTTAGCAATTGTAAATAAATTCAATTTACCTAACATGACGATTTCAGCATACGATTAAATTTTAAGTTTGATAAGTTTGAAAAGCATTTAAACAAATGCAGCAATTAATTTTCATCGGAATACTTGTATCAACATTTACATTGTGTGCCAACTCGAGTTCTAATGGTATTGTTTATCCACGAAATAGATTACGTGATAGTTGAATTTAAAAAATTTTATTATCTTATCTTCGAAATTAATTTCCTGAAAAATTCAAGTTGAAATCCTCCCATCCCCTAAAACTATAACGTTTCACTTTCGACCTAATTAATTTAACATAGAATAATAAACAACAACAACCAAATTTCAAATTTAAAACAAAACATGAGTGCGCAACTATGAAATAATTCATAAATCAGCGCGAATGATGAATATTTATTAGGCAGTCCATCACTTTCTAACGTTTCGGAACTAACATAAATGGAAATTTTGTTGGATGCAGAGAGAAACAGCCAACTGCAGAAGTAATAATACATAAAATTGATTTTAACGAATTATTTCGTACACATCTATATAGGAAACGTTCGTACAAACGTTCGCAATGATGTTCGCTTCATACAAAAAAGATCGATCGACTTTCAAATAACGTTCTTCTATGTAATATCGTTATTTATTAAGAATAAAAATATTTCAAATTATTTCTCTCTAACGATCACACAATCGAACACGCTATTTCCTTGTATATATCTATGAACATCATAAATATTACAACAGTAAATATATATATATATATATATATATATAACGAATCACCTTTTATGTGATAAAAATAATAATGCAAACAGTCAAATAAACGTCAGAGACACGTAAACAAAATTCAAATGATGTTAAAGAACAAACATAATAAATCGCACTTATATGTAATAGATACTCACAAGAATCGGAAATAACAGGATCAACGAAGATTCATCGTCTTTGGATAATCCTCTTATGATTGATTACATCGATCGATTTAACTTACAGGAAGAAACCATAGGACAAAATTGTATATCGATCCTTTTGTCTCTCTCTCTCTCTCTCTCTCTCTCTCTCTCTCTCTCTTTTTCTCTCGCTCTCCTATTCTTTCTTCCTCTTTCTGTCTCAAGCACAAAATTCACAAGATGATAATTGAATATTACAATGTTTCCGCACTAGAAAAACACTAGAAGATAGAAAATACTCCGAAAAAAAGAAGAAAAAAAAATAAAAATTAAAGAAAAATAAATGATCGATGATCGAATAATTCGAATCTGACACGCGTGTGTATATTACATTGCGATCCGATGATAATATCTCGAGTAGGAAGGAAGTTTAAAGGAGTTATAAGAGGAAGGTGGCAGGAGATGGTGGCAGGAAGGAAGGAAGAAAGGAGGGAAGGAAACAGAATAGTGTGTGCGAATGCGAGAACAGGACGGATGCGGTAAATACAGAACGTGAGTCTCGATCGATGTCCGTGCGCAGACTGCCGGCTGCTCGGTTCTGCCGCGCTTTCCTCCTGCGCCACTCCCCTCTTTTCCGCTCTGACAAATCCCCACTCTTTCTACTCAAATACTACGCCTACGATATATGTATTAAATGTATGCGTATGATATTGCTTCCTATTATCCCTTCTCCCTTTGAATCGCCAAAGCTCTCAGGCCAAGGACTGACTAAGACTTCGACCTATCGATTATAATAAAGACTTTAATTATTTTTTGGTTCCTATCAGTTTCCTTACAAATTTACCTGAAACTATTGCAATCGATTTTTAGATAAAATTTAGAGTAAAATGTTATTGTCCGTTCCATATGATTTTTCGTTTTATGATTATTACTCGATGATTTTAGAGAACATTTTCTCTAGGATTGTTTGTACCCATCATAACGATTGTGATGATTTTTTAGTAGAGTTTTATTTTTTTATCTTTATATTCTTTTATTTTGTACAAATGATTCTGTATACGGACGAATCGTATGAACATGATTGTCTACTTTATTGCTAGATTTGCTATGAAAAGAGTTATTTCCGGTCTAATATAAGATAATAAGCTTTTACAAAGTGTATACTCGTAAGATAACATCGTCGTCTTCTTTCTATTATTCGCCAACCCGCATGTCGTCTCGTGTTATGATCACACGATACTCGTGTAATCTTATTTGCAAACTAACCGGCGGCGCGGTAGTCCGTGTCGCAAAATTTATGCGTCTCTGAAGAACTTAAAGGAGTATAAGATTAAAGGAAGAGATTACGAATGATTAAAGTAGATCTATTTTTGGCTATCGAACGACGACATTGAAAATATTACTGTGACATCTTAGAATTTCACATTTCACTTATTATTACTTTGTTTAAATATATATATATACAAAAAATAGAAAATAAAATATATTCTTGCCACCCAAATTAGGCAGTTCAAAGAATGAATGATCTCTTAAAAGTATATTAAATTTACTTGTGAATTTTGAGAAAATATATATTTAATAACTGAAGAAAACAAAAGTCGATCACTTTTATTTAAATTTTAATTTGAAATGTCAAAAAACAAACGACGATCTTAAAAGTAAATAAAATTTATTTGAACGTAAGAACAAAAGTACATTTAATAATTAATCACTGAAAGAAAAATCTATCACTTTTCTGTATGTTCAATTAGGACTGTCGAAAAACAAACGAACGATCTAAATAAAAATCAAACTAAAATACAAAACAAAAATCTGCTTAAACTCTCTATTTAAACAACAAATATATATTTAATTCGTTAATCGAAGATATAAAATCGATCGTTTTTATTTAGATCACTTTGAGTATTATTTATCTCGACAAAAGAACCGTTAGATGAGATGGAAAAAGGGCCATTGCGAGTTCGTTTAGTCGTCTCACGTGACTTGCTCGTTGATTAACGTCGAACCCTCCCTTCATTCGTCGTTTTCCATATAATTGTTCTCACTCGCATACATTTTTTCTCCTTTTTTCAAAGCACCTATCGATAACCCTCTTTCCTCAAACTCGCATTCGCGTCCTCAATTGACGAGAATAAAATGGAACAGCAATTTAAAAGAAGGACTGTCATTGATCAAACTCGATACTTTTTCGCGGGGAAAAAAAAATAATGGTGGCGGTAGTAGGGAAAAAAAAGAAAGGAAAATTTGCGAACGAATCCATCCGAAGAAAAGAATATTGTGACAAAAACTGCTCTCTCTTTCTATCTTTCTGTCGTCGAAAAGCTTAAAAAAAAGAACCCAATGAGATGTCCTCGATTTCGATCTTTTCATTCGTATTTATCACTTCAATAGATCTGATTTTATCCACCTATTGAACTCACTTTTTCAATGGAATTGGATCAAGGGAAGTTTATACGATAGCATAGCTCATAACATATCCTAACTGATCCTTTTGAATATACCGGAAATTTCATTAATTTGTATCACGAGTAGCTATACTATGCAACTTGTATAAATGAAGACTAAAAAAGAAAAGATAAACAAATTTCTTATACGTAATACGAATTTTATTTTTACAAATAATTAAGCTTGGATTAATTCGATTCGTATAACTTCAAAAAATAATAAATTAACAAAATTTGCGTACTATAAATTCATACATTTTTTAGTGTTAAATTCATTTTAACAATCTCTTTCCCAACTATTTTAACCTAATATATCGATAATAATAAACAATTGTTATCATCTGTTCAAACAGAAACGCTATTATAGCATAGCAGTCGATTTCGAAACATCGACACGTTGTTAGGAACGATCGGAATACTAATATTTCAAGTCCAACTAACTTTTCTTTCTATAAAATAAAAGGGTGGGTGCGCGGTTAGGGGGTAGGGGGAGAGGGAGGTTTGTGGAAATAAAACCGAAAAGATGAAAATAAGTTAACCGATCGACGTTGATGTTACCGTTCGCGTACAAGTTCGAGTTTGAGTTTGAGTTCAAGCCTTTCTTCTTTTTCCCACTTCGAAGAGACAAATGTACGTCGCTTTTGAGTGCAATGCCCGGAATCTTAACTACCTGTTTGTCTCGTATTCAGGTGCGTACGCAACTTCGATCTTATATAGTACGAGTTTATATACGATCATTTCGTCTATGTCGAGGTTTACTGCGCGTGTATGGTTTCGAAAATGGATCGATCATCGATCTTCCATCTTTTTTTTCCTTTCCTTATCGATCCCTTTTTAAAACGTTTCAAACACTTGTCTCTTCGTTAACAAACAAAAAAAAAGAAAATTTATCACCCATTTACCGTTAAACCTCGTTTCCAACACATTAGAAAAAAACTTGAAGTATTGACGTAAGAGTCCTGCACGAGAATGTTTCTTGAAATAAAAGGTTTCGTCTGACTCTCTGCGTCGGAATTTATGGGAACAAAAATTTCATTCATTTAAATTTGTTAAAACGTATTTAAACTAAAAAGTTTAAGAAAATGTTAATTAATTGGTTCATGTGGTTTTTAATTAGCATCATATTTGTAAATAAATATTTTTCAATTACCGAAATTCGTAGCCATTTGAAAACCAAGCTGATTATTTTTATTAACACACTAAGTGTGCTATATTAAATTATTATATAATGTTATATTATATATGATCTACAAATCTCTTAATTAATTAGTCTAATACAGGTTAGATTAAAGATACACTTCCCAAATGATTATTCAATAATAATGACATTTAATTACGAGGTTAAATTAATGTATTAATTATAAATAAAAAATTATGATATGAAATTAAAACAATTTAATTTCTGAATGGTTAGTGCAGCCAATTCGCCCGATAGTATTTCCGTTATTTACAAAATATTCAAATACAACGAAAGTAATATTGACCCAGGTCTCACCCCGAGGAGGTTGCTGCATACGGAGGCCCACTAGTTATTACAAATTTAAGATTCAATCTTTAAAATGAGTTTATACACTTATAAGATATAAGTCAATCAGTGACAAGAACTAAATATTACATATTATAATATTATATATGATGAATGCCTTTTGTAGTAATAAAATAAGGGAAGAAGCCACTCCTACCCTCTTGACTTTTTTGTTTACATTTCCCAAGAAAGATCGAGTTTCCGGAACTTCAAGTAAGAAAGAAACATAACTCAAATGAAGTGTCATCATCCTATGAAACACTTCAAGTTAAAGATCGAGTTATGTCAATGAACAAATTTCGTATTGGTTCGCGTGTAAATATTTGGAGACAGTAAATATTTGGAGACAGTAAATGTATTAAAAATTATCTAAAAACAAAAATAAAAAACCCCATTTACTATTATGTGAATTATTAAACTAAATAATTCAATTAAACAAAACGAAAAATAATACACATATATAAATCATGATGATAAATAATTTCCTTTTCTCTACTTTTAATATATATCTATATATATGTATAAGTATAAATAATATAATTGCATTAATTTCCAGAATTTATTATAAAATAAAAATCTAATCTTACATAAAAATGTAATTAAAAAAATATTCAACGATTTATTAAAACAAAAAAAAGCAATAAAAAAAATATTAAGAAATATAAACAAAATAAATTTTCATTTGAATAAATATAATTAAATTTCAAAATTGTGTGTGCGTATGTACGTCTTTATGGAAATATAAAGTGAATATATCTATATAAATAATATATATAAATAAAAATATAATTTGGAAAAGAAACCAAACATAGAAAGAGCTTAAATAAACGTTTAATGACAAACCAAAGGAGTACTCTTCCCACGCTTTTCTTATCCTCTCATTCGGTTTCATTTCGTTTCGATTCGTCGAAACGATGCGACGTGAAGATGAGAAATAATAGGAAAGAAAGAGAGAAAAGACTGCTCGTTTTAGTAGGACTACACCGCAACATTTTTGCGGTACTTTTATGTCTTAATTTTCTTTCGAACCCTTTCCCCTCTCCCTACTCATCCTTTCATCCACGGTAAGAGTCTATTTATAGTGAGCACAGGCTCCTTCACTTAGCATCCTCCTTTACGTTCTTCCAACTGAAAGATCTACCGTCTTCCAATTTCTTTCTGCAAAATACTCTATCTACCAAATTCTGCGAAAAGAAATACTTAAAAAAAATAGAAAATGGAAAAAGTGGAAAATATTTTCCAAGATTTTGGGAAAACATCAGGAAAATTTGTATTTCATAATAATCGGTTGTATCTCAACAAGAAAAATTGAGCTATTTATAACAAATTCACATAATTTAAATCAAGATTTATCTTTTTTTATTTATCAAACTATGAGTGTTTATAAAAAATAATTGAAATAAAACTTCTTTGTAAAGTTATCCTTTATTTTTATCCTTTTCCAACAAATTTTGGCATAAAATAAAAATATAATAAAACTCTGGAAGAAATTACAGACAGACTAAAAACTATGATTCACGATTATACATTTTCAGTTAACTTCTAGATATCTCATTGTCAGTTTAAGAACATCGTGCCTTATCGCTCTAGTGTCATAATTTATAAACCTTTT